AAACCCACAATCTCTTTAACAAGAAGACAATACTGTATTATTGTACCATCTAAGCCAAGCTGGCACTGTAGACTTCAATTAGATTCCCCCCCAACCCATCTCCTCTACATCTCTTAACTTGAATACTATACCTGAAATTACTGTACCCTGATCTGCTCACTAGCCTCTCAATGACAATGTTTCCTGGAGCTGTTTGCTCAGTCTCTCTGTTATGTGCCTATGGCTAATAATTATTCACTTCTGGAGGGTTTGTGGCTTCAGCAATACGTCGCAGCCCTAACGGATAGTCAGCCTCACTCACACAGGAGAGCAGACGTGAGAGTGAAACAGGCAATTAAAGTGGGAGATGGTGGATTCAAACCCAATGGGGTCAGAGCATCACAGATAGAACTGATTCTTGTTCTGCACTCATTTAAAAAACAAATGTCACTAATTGTCTTTGCAATCACCAATTAACAACAGGCTATAATCACTGCAAATGTTAATCACAGTCACTCTCAGCAAAGTCCCAGGCCTGGAGCAGCCAATGTTACCCATTTAGAAACAGGCTCTGTTTTATAGCTGGAGTAGTTGATTAATGGATCTTGTAATTGTTTTTAATCAGTCAGACACCCGGGTGAAGGATCAAGACCCACAATTCAGGACAACACCAAGGTTGAAAAGAATCAGAAAGTAATATACCCTACGTATACTGATGGCTATGTTATGTGAAACCTGCATAAGTGGTATCATATATGATTTTTGTAAAGTTATGTATAAGTCTGATTTTGTATGACTTACACATAACAGATACATTTTTAAAAAGAAAATTTGGGATTATTATTATTATTATTATTATCATTCTATTAAATCATGGCTGATCTGTACCTCAACTCATTACTGAGAAAGAGGCGTTCAACAGACAAGGAGCTGAGCCAAGGAGGCTGACAATCAGCAGACATGTGTGTAAGGACCATTCCTGAGAATATTATTAGGTCTGCTATTTTGGCACAGGCTGAGAGGCAAAGGATAATAACATTAATGGAGCAGATTTCAGAAGGGTTGGTTTCCAAACCGTAAGTGAGTGAGTGTCTGAGTGAGAGAGTGAGTGTGTGAGTCAGTCAGTCGGTGAGAGAGTGAGTGACTGTGTGCGTGAGGGAGGGAGTGGGGATGATTGAGGAACAATAAATTGGGAAATCACAGCGGACTATGCAGACTCAGCAAAAGTGTAATTTTTCAAGGGCAAATTGAAGTGAGGACTGCAGATGAAATATAGGCTGTGTGCAACTGAAAGGTTAATAGCAAGGCGCAGACATAAATTGTTCAATAAACGGATTAAAGTAATCATAAAGGGAAAGCATTTTTTTCCCTCTCTCTGATTATTTAAAGAGGCACTGTCGTTTTTTGGGGAGTTTGTTAAGTGTGCTCAGTTCTCGGAGAAGTCTGCTCTGAAATCGTTCCCATTTATTATCCCCATAATAAGTAATGTAATAACCCTTAGGTTAGCTAAAAGATGACGCAAAGACACAGGTAACTGCCATCAAGTGTAGCGACTGTGTATTTGTAGGAAACGTGGCAGCCAATTTGTGCACAGCAATGTCTCGCAATGAGGGGTGAAGTGAATGACCGATTTATCTGTTAGCCAGGACACTGAGGGAATCCCCAGGACACAGGCCAGGAAAAACTCACTCCTCTTAATAATAATGATAATAATATCAATCCTTGCATTTGATATAGCGCCTTAGCACTTTGTTGCGACGTCTCAAAGCTCTTCACAGAATTTACTGTCAATAGTTTCATAGGATTTCACTCTCCAACTGGCTTTTGTTGACCTGGTTTGAGAATTACTGACCAGCTGATGATTAGAGATCCATGTTTCTCAATACCAGATAGGATTGGCGATAAATGACCAGAATCAGGGATCAAAGCTGCAGTTTTTCTTCTTTGGATAAACTGATGTTTGTTGCATTAAACAAAATTTTCTCCCACAAAATGTACAGTCAATTTACCTTGCTGTGTATTCTGTGAAGTGCTTTGAGACGTCTCAAAGATGTGTTAAGGCTCTATATCAAATTTAAGGATTATTATTATTAACAAACTATTCTTCTAACCTCCCCTGTCTCTCCCAGGAACAGACCTGAGCTTATGCCCCCTGTTATCTGTGAGTTCAGCTGGAGAACAGGCTTCAGTGATTTCAATGGAGTTGTGACGACCTTCTTTTTGGCCTGAAACTCACCTACCTTCATTCAGGACATTTTTGGCCACACAACAACTTCAATTTATTGCTGCAGTGCAGTGCATTGCACCAAGGGCCGGCTTTCAGATGAGATCAAATGGGATTGGGGTAAATTCTAATGGCAAAATCTGTGAGACCCCCCCTAACACTGGCTGGGAATGTGGCTGGGAGCAGGACACCGGACCAGGGGAAAGGAGGATGGAGCTAAACTGCTGGAATATGGCAGAGAGAGTCATATTCCTGAGATAGTTGATGGCCGGTTGGGTAGCGAGGCTCAGGAGAAACATCTGATTTTAAAAAAGCAAATGCAGATTTTTAAAAAAAAAAACAATTACTGAATGAACGCGGAGATGCAGCAATCAAACCAATAAGCACATTGCCGCATTGTTCCTTTGAACTGTTGGCCTACTTACACCGCCACCTGCTGGTGCAATGTGTGGCCAAGTCCGGGTAACAGCAGCAGCGTGACTTGAAGGAGATGAGAACACGAGCCGTTAGCATCCGCCCCGTGTCCTCTTCTACTGCAGCTGCTCATCACACAGGAACTCTGCGAAGCGTCAACATTACTGTGTACGTGTGTAGGTACAACTGGAACCTGCGTTAGTCACCGAGATACAATATTTTCGCTATTCTTGGACCAAAGGATCATGCGATGTAACTGCGCTCACGTAATCATCGCCTGACCGTACCCTCGAACGTTTTGCACATGAAATATACAGTCAACTCACTTTACAGTATATTCGGTGAAGCACTTTGAGACGTCTCAAAGATGTGATAAGACACTATATCAAATGCAAGGATTATTATTATTAATGCAAAACTACAATCAAATTTCAAGACAACAATTTCATGTCTCGAACAGAATTGAACAGCTCCCACTCAGCCTTACGCTGCAGTAAGTCTCTGTGTTTAATAAATGATTCTTTATTATAAGGGGAGCATCTGCCAAAAAAAAAACACTTGCAAAGCAATTCTTTGAATCAAATTATTTCCTCCCCAAATTAGTATATGTTGGCCAATAAACATTTTCCATATTGATTCGAGTTCTGAGGAAAGCGAAATCAGAGTTTCCTGCTTATAACATAAGGTTTGAGTCCAGCCGAAGTCTAAATCTAGTTAAAGATGAATCATTTCCTGGGGATCTTATATTATTATATATATGTCTTTCTCCCCAACTCCCTGTGCGCGCATTTCTTTACAGATATTAACCACCACCTCTCTTCCAGAACAGAAAGTTAATAAAATAGAATATCAGGTGGTATTTTTATACACAGTATAAGAATAATCAACTTCGAGAAACCAACAGACAGACAGCCCTGATCCAAACATTTCAATGCAGTTAATACGATTTTTAAAATTTTTTAATAAAATGAATGAAAGTTTGTGGAATTGGTAAACCGATATTTGGCATAAACGAAAAATACCATTTCTGGTGTTTTCATTTAAACAGTTATTTTTATGTGAAACAATTAGCTGAAGATGCAAATCGAGATCTGTGCAGACAGAGGAGATTGGGTGAGACCGAGTTTAGATGTTGGAACCTGCATTTAGCATCTTCCATGCATATTAATAATATTAATCCTTGCATTTGATATAGCGCCAGATCACATCTTCGAGGCATCTCAAAGCGCAACACAGGATATACTGTAAAGTGAATTGAATGTGTATTTTCTGGGTGAAACTCATGTCTCAGTGCTGCAATATTTAGCTATGGGTAACACACACAAACCATCTCTCACTGACCCAGCCAGCCCAGCGCATATTACAAGGAGTCCTGCAGCTCAGTGGTTAGAGTGCTCGCCTCACAAGCGAGAGACCTGGGTTTGATTCCCGGCCAGGCAAAACCTTGGGCAAGTTTCCTTACTCCGCATGCCTGATAATGATCCCTCAAGATAAAAAACAATAATAAATTGGTGTCTTCAATCCACGACTGTTTGTGGGACCCTGCTGTGCGCAATTGGCTGCTGTGTTTTGCCCACAAATATATACAGTCAATTAATTCACTTTACAGTATATTCTGTGAAGCGCTTTGAGACGTTGAGAAGACATGAAAAAGTGCTATCTCAAATGCAAGGATTATAAGGCATTTTCCTAACCTTCAGTGTACGTAACCAGCTATTCTCTCTCTCTCTCTGCTCTGATAGGGAATTACTTACTGAGATAGGAGAGCAAATCTCCTCTGGACATAGGGGAATAATAATAATATTTTTAACATAAAAAAGATAGGCTGCATAGCTGGAAGCTGTGGTGAATGTATGTGTGGCTATCCCTTGCTGGGTCAGTGTGGGTTTGGAGAGCAGAGGTTAGTTAGGAGCTGCTGTAGGAGAGCTCAGTTGGTTAGAGTCAATGCAGGATTCAGACGTGGCTGAGTGGTGTGTGCTGGCAGTGCAGTGCCACAGCCTCGCATTGCCAGACAGGGCAGCAATAGGGGAAGACAGAATGCATCAGAAAATGTGCAAACAACCAGGAAAAAAACATCACCGCAGTTCTGGGCAACGCTGAGTGCAAAATGTCTGCTATTTCTTTCCTCTTGAAAGCAATGGTCTGTGCCGGCTCTCAACGATGCCTGTTATAATAGGTCTGGGTGTGGGTGTGGGTGTTAGTGGGGTAAGTGAGCAGGAGATGGGAGGACCTGGGGCTGACAATAGGAGCTGGAAGGACAGACAGCACTAGGACGATGCTGTGTGTGTGAAAAGGGAGAGATTGAGAACCAGTTGGATCCTACTCCACACTCTCTCCATCCCTCCACCACCCCCATCTCTCTCTCCCTCCCTCTCCTCTCTCCCTCCCTCCCTCCCTCCTTCCCCTCTCTCTGCCTCTCTGACCGGACTAAAGCAATAGGATGAAGAGTGGAGAGTCGCGGGGGGCGAGCGGTGGGAGCAATGTGCAGAAACCCGAAAAACAATCCTGTTTTTCCAACATCAAGATTTTCATGTTGTCTGAATGTGCTCTGATGCTGGCGCAGGGCACAGTAGGAGCTTACCTGGTAAGTGCTGTCCTCTCTCTCTCTCTCTCTCTCACACACACAATCCCTCACATAACTGACACCCCACCTCTGCCCTTTACACACAACCCCTCACATACCCGACACCCCACCTCTGCCCCTTTTATCCTTCCCATTATTTTTGACATTAAAAAGTTGATGTCAGGGAGACTTCTCTGCTTTACTGTGTAGGTTAAACAGCGACTGAACTGATATCTGCAATATTATTTGTATGAGTTAACTAGCATTAAGTGGGATTTAAATGGTGATGGCGATGTGATGACATTGTAAATGTTAATAATGGCATGCATATTTTTACACATTAAGCATGTTTTTTTTTCTCTGTGAGTGTGATTTGCATGTGGCTGCAGCATTAATTGATTACCCCCCTTGTAATATCCTAGAGGCCAGCATAATGTAATCGATTATGTAGTGAGATGATACTCTGTGTCAATAGTGTGTTTAATAATGTCATTTGTCGTCAAATTCTATTATTTACCTGTGTGGGTTATTATAGTTCAGGAATTAGTTCAGCTACGCAATCAGAAGCTTTGCACCTTATTACATTTACATTTGTATAATTGATGATGTATTGCAAGTCTAGTTTTATTGCCTTTACGTTAGTGCAATGTTGGGAGGTAAGAGAGGTCCAACTACTATATTGGTTTGTTTCCCATTTCACCCTGTCCAGATAGTGTCAGATTGACAGCATATAATATACATACATACATACATACATACATACATACATACATACATACATACATACATATACACACACAAACAAACAATATACATACATCAGCACTCATACATACGCACTCATACATACACATATGTACTACACATTTATTGTACCACAAAAGAACCAGAATTATAATAGTCAAAAATCTAATGGGCTACTGTTTCTATGGAAACCTACACTGTCTGCCTGGTACCCTCAGCTTACATAAGTGTCATCCCTCAGTTACCAAGTGGCTTCTCAGCTCCTGTGTGTGAGCACACCTCTCCTGCACTCACTCACGCAGTCCTTCACACTGGGGTCTATTGAGAGAACAAACACCTAAACCTTTTAATAGCTTTGACTGGAGCTGTTTTTTTTTATTTATTCACTTATTATTGTCTGCATTCGCTATCAATTTTCCTATTTCTTTCTCCCCCATCTGTCTCCTGTGTGTGTGTGTGTCTCTCATATATACATCTCCATCTCTCCTGCCCCTAACAGACTATCACTGGAGGCCCAGAGGTACATGGAGCAGCAGGTCAGGGGGAGGTGGGAGAGAAGTGGCTCCAAGGCTGTGTAATATGTCCTATGGTTCATGTTCTTCCTGCTCTGTGTAGGTACTGTATATCAAAGTGTATTTACATCTATCTGTATCTCTGTGACATAGTTCCATCTCCATCTGTGCACCTGGTTTAACTTCCTATTTCTGTTTCACACTTTGCTTTACTCTACACAATACTGTTCATTCTAAAATATTTGCTGAGTTTAGAGATTTTTGGGATATGTTGATAATGATCAATATCATTATGGCATAAATATAGTTTAAACCCCAACAATAAAATGACTGTCCAGGGCACTGGATGCCTTCAAGCAGAGGTTGGATGATGTAATAATGGGAAGATGCAAGGTTGTTGTGGTGGAGAGATAAGAGAAAATTGATTTTTTAAATTAAATAATCTTAAATAATAAATAATATTCAATAATAAATCTTAACAGTTGTCCATTTTGTCCATTCCATCCCAAAAATATATCTCTGGGAATTCCATGTGTTGGTGGGATGCAAGGAATTCTCCGTTGGGTTTAGATACTCTTAAGCATGGGGAAGGGTTGCCGCTCGTGTCAGACCAAAAAAAAAGAAGAGAAAATGGGCAAAACATTCATCTCTCTTGTGAACTTGCGATGCTTTGTACACTTCCAAATCATGCACTGTGATGCTGAATACAGTAATAAAGCCGCTTAGACATCAGGAATAATGTTAATACCACTACACTGATTCCCAATCCACTAAATTACTTTATCCAGTGCCTTAACATCTCAAAGCATTTTGCATGATGGCTTACTTTGAAGTGTAGTGCCTGATGTTATGCAGGCAAATGCACCAACTAATCTGTACCAGCAATGTCTCTCACACAGCAATGAGATGAATGACTAATTAACATGCTTTTTGCTAGTTTGGGTGAAGGAGGACTATTGGCAAGGACAGCTGTTAGGTTGTTGGTGTAGCCAAGGCCCAGGGCTGCATCATAGGAGCATTCTCTCTCTCTTCTCTCTCTCGGGTTGTCTCTCAGATAGAGATCCTGGCATTTGAACAGAATGTTACAGCCAAGATCCTAATGCACTGAGTATGATGAGAGGAATGGCGGCAGTGGGAGTGGTACTTCTCTATGTTAAGAGTTACAGAAATGGCCCCAGTTTGGTTACCAGAAAGGAATTTGGAAGCATTTAAGAAATGGCTCAACGCTGCAATGCAAATAGGTAGGAATATAGGAACAGGAGTAGGCCATTCAGCCCCTCCAGCCTGATCTGCCACTCTATAAGATCATGGCTGATCTGTACCTCAACTCCAATTACCTGCCCTTACCCCATATCCCTTGATGCCCTTATCCCCATATCCCTTGATACCCTTACATTTTGCTGCAAAGACTAGGCTGATAGAGGTTGCAGAAAAAAAAACTTAATTGAAGACAATCTGTGCAATTAGTACAGATGATTCATAATAAGGAATGAAAAAAGTAATCACCAGGACTGGCAAGGACTTTTATCTCTTAATTATGAGAGACTGTTTGAACTACTTACTGCTATTGCATAAGATGTTTCATGGTTTAACAAGCTCACTGTAGCTGGTGTACTGATCTGCTGGAATCCTTCTATGTCGTCTCTCCTTCGTTTATACATTAAAGAGGTAGGACATTCTATCAATCACCAAAGCGTAGGTCAGTACTGTCCTGTCCTGTTCAGGAGTTTTTATCTCTGTAGAAGTTTGAATGTTGAACATATAATTTGTTATGGGGTTATATATTATAAATTTAAGAAATTCTTAGATGTGTGTCAGTAATGGTGTTAGCTTCTTCAGGTCTGTGCTGGGGCTCGCTCCCCCACTGGAGCTCTCTACTCTAACCCCATTCCCTGCTCTCTCCCCATCGTGTCTGTGTTGGTGCTCGATCCCCATCGTGTGTGTGCTGGTGCTCGATCCTGCACTAAAATTCTTCACTCGTTGCTCAACTCTTTCTCAGCACAATATGAGTTCTGGAAATGTCCAGAAGTAGCGCTATTTGGGGAACAAATTTAATCACTTTTCTGCAATCTTTGTCAAAATGCTTTCTTGAAATATCTGTCCACATGGCTTCCTACTGAACCAGGTCAATAGGTCACATAGTGCTAGTAGACATAAACCACAGGGTGTCTTTGTAAACTTCGACACAGACCTCTCAGTGCACGTTTAGGATCAATTTACTAATTACACAGACTTTACACCTCATTTAACCTCTCCAAGTCCAAGGAAAAGTGATTACCGAAACAGATGGAAACTGTACTGGTGCTTCTGTGTGAATGTTTATTGCTTAGACAACCAGTCAAGCCATGGGAATCGTTACAGGGGAGAAGAGAGCCCAGTCTAGGCTGACACTCCCTTGCAGGACTGGAAGAGCATTGCATTGTCAGCGGTGCCATCCACTGGGTTGCGTTGAAACAAGGTCCTGTCTGCCTGTTCAGGTGGACGTCTAAAAATCCCACAAAATAACTTGAATAATTGAATAACTTACTGCTAGGTAAACAGAGCCGTATGGAGTAAGGAATCTTGCCCAATGTATTGCCCCGCCCAGGAATCAAACCCAGCTCCTCTCATTTGTGAGGTGAGTGCTCTAACCACAATGTGGGTATAGCTGTGCAGTTATGTGTGAGTGGCTTTCCAAGCTATTCACAAAGGGAATTGGGTTACTAACTTCGCGATTCACTGTTTAAGAGCAACATAGCCAAGTGCGACATGTGGGAGGGAGAGCAGTGATGTTAATAGTGAAGTTCTATCTCGCTGAAGTGTTTTCGAGACAAGCACTAGGCAATGTTACTATGGAGACGAGGACACACCACTGATTTTATTTGAAAACCTCAAACATATCAACACCCTCCAGGCTAACTGGCTGCTGAATGAATTTCTGTCACTACCTCCACAATATTTGCTCATCTTACTGTTATTTGCTAATTCTGTGCTCACTGTGGGTTCTGCACCAACAAGAAGCCATCTTTATTCCTATTTAAGAATATAGTCAGAAAAGATTATTTTTTTCTTGCCTCTTAAAGTCAATTGACTCTGTTTACCTTCTCCAACACACAGTTCTTAAAGCCCAATCATATTTGCCCAAGTGGTCATGGTTCAAGTATGTGTTTTGCCAATCAGTGTTGGTGGACTGTTCAACCTGAGCAGAACATCACATCCAAGCATTATGTCTTCACACTAGGCGTGAAATCACATGTCATTTTAGACTGTATGGACCGTTTGGTCTTAAAATTTAACAAGGTATACAATTTGGGGAAAATTCTTAAAATTCTTAAGTTCAACAACAACAAAAANTTATTTACGCTGAGCCTTTCAAGACAGGAAGATATCCCAAGGCGCTGGACAGTCAGGGATTTGGACCCGAGCTGGGGGTTGAGATCAGGAGGGTAGGGGTAGGAGTGTGACCGAAGGCAAGCTCAAAGAGGAGGGTCTTGAGACGTGCCTTGAAGGAGGTAGGGGAGGGAAGAAGTTGAAGGAACCATGGAATGGAGTTCCAAAGGGTGGGGGCAGAGAGGCTGAAGTCCCACTGCTGATGGTGGGGACTAAATTCAGGCTTCACCTGGAGAAAACTGGCTTCCACATTAAGTGTGAATTGAAGAATTTTCCACAAATCTGCGGGATATTAGATTTTAGCACAAAACAGTCTTTCAGGCAGAATTTCAGGGCTCAGGAATCTGATCCATCAATCAAAGCTGAATTGAAAAAAAACACTTGCGGAAATAAGAGGCTCGTGTGCCTCTGGGTCACCAAATCTCTATTCGTTTGTTTCCCTACCTCTGCTGATGTGATCTGAATTGCTTCAGGGGTGGTAATACAGGAATAACAGTACCACTGGCCTTAATGTGACAGAGTCTCCAAAAAAAATCATTAGTGAATGTTATATACAGAATAATGGACAAGTTAGAGAGTGTTTCATCAGCTGGAACTATCTCCCAACTTTTCCATTTATATTATTATTATCAGATGTCTCATTTTAATTCATGGATTTGAGGTGCACGGTCAATGATGCATCAGTATTCAGTGCAGCAGGTCAAAGACTGTGCATTTCATTAGTCTCACCAGGTTCCCAGCTACTAGATCATGTGACTATTAGTATGAAGAAAGCCAACATGTTAATTAGTGTAATTACTGTTATTCCAAATTAGATACACGTAGAACTAAAGTGACAACCCTAAATTAAAGTCATAATGAAATTTACGTTGTGATAAAGTTCTAGTATGTATCTAGTGTACAAAATGTGATGTCAATTACAATGCCTCATTTGCAAGAGATCACAAGAGGAGTTTGGATGCAGAAGGTTCTTTGGCCAGTTTGGTTCCGTCCTTCAACAGTACCTGCCCCTCAGTCATCCCATCACAGCATCTAGCTATTTCTTAAATAAGTCTAGTGATCCGATCTCAACTACCGTCACTGTTACCCATTCCAGCTGTTAATTACCCTCTGGGTGAAGAAATACTTCCTGGTGGATGTTTCAAACTTATCCTTCACACCCTTGATCCTCAGACCTCTTGTCCTGTCTTGACGTATCTTAAATATAATTCTGGGCTTGCTTTCTCTTTCCAGTTCAGTCTTAAAACATTAAGATTCCAAAAAATTCCACAATATTCTTTAACTCAGCATTAATTTGTAAGTTTTTTTTAAACCATGTTTTAAAATCCGTGTCGGTAGGTTAAGCTTCACCTCAGAGTGTTCGATATAATTAGATATAAGATCATCATGACCAATACAGAGAGCCCTCACTTCTTTGTTAATGATCCTTAAAACTGCTTGAGAGGCTGGAGAGAGTTCTAAGTCAGCAAAACCACAGCGTAAATTGAGGATCATCACCCGAAGCAAGTCTTTATTACACCACAAGTTATTTGACTGTGTCATTATATCTTGCCACTTATATCTGTGAAAGATCCTGTAGCTTAGTAGTTAGAGCACTTGTCTCGCAAGCGAGAGGACCTGGGTTTGATCCCCGGGCAGGGCGAAACTTTGGGCAAGTCTCCTTATTCCACACACCTGTGTTTACCTATCAGTAAGTAGGAATCAGGTTGTTAGTTGATTGGTGGATTACTTTTCTGGGGTAATAATCCCTTTTAAAAAAAGTAATAACGTGGTCCTTCAGTCCATGACTGTTTGTGGGACAGGTTTTGCCCACAAAGTATACGGTCACTTCACTTTACAGCATATTTTGTAAAGAGCTTTGAGACATCTCGAAGACATGATAAGGCGCTATATCAAATGCAAGGATTATTATTATTATCATTATTTGTAAGAGAATTAGATGAATATTTGAGGAAAATATTTAATAAATGTTATGCAGGAAAGAGCAGAGGGTTTGGGATTACAGGAGATAAGTACAGTGCAGGGAGTTGGGGTGGGAGGGGGCAGACAGCACTATCATCAAAAAGATGAGGAAAGAGTAGGGGAATGAGATTAGAACAGACAGGCGTCAATGCAGTAATTAGCAGATATGATGGGCCAGATGGCCTTTGTGCTGTAAATATTCTAATTCTGTAACCTCTAATTATGTTGAGAACAGAATGAACAGAAGTGCGTCAATTTATTTTTCTTTTATTATTTTTCCTTCTTCAAGTCTAAGGTCTTGAAGAAGGTCTTCTTCCAGTGCCTTGGGAAGTGCTCCTGACCTGAAAGTCTCGATATAATGAAATTTTCTTCTTGTAAGGTCAGGGTATCAAGGGAAGTGGGGCAAGGGCGGGTAATTGGATTTGAGATACAGATCAGCAGTGATCTTATAGAATGGCGGAACAGGCTAAAGGCCTACTCCTGTTCCTATGTTCCAATTTACATTCCCAAGCGGTGTACGCAAATCCCAGAAAGATGGTCAGAGTCTCTTCCCAGGGGCTTCTTCCCCTCTTTCAGGAGTACTTGTAATTGTCCTCTATTCTGCTAGAGTAATGACTGTTGTAATAGCTGATGTGTAACTGGAATCCCTCTCCTTCTCCAGGTCAGTGTGTTGACAACCCTGGAGAGAAGATTTAACCTGCAGAGTGCCGATGTGGGTGTCATAGCCAGCAGCTTCGAGATTGGAAACTTGGCTTTGATTTTGTTTGTCAGTTACTTTGGTGCCAAAGGGCACCGGCCACGCCTGATAGGATGCGGAGGCATTGTCATGGCTCTGGGGGCCTTGCTGTCGGCTCTGCCTGAGTTCCTCACCCACCAGTATGAGTATGAGCCTGGTGACTCCCCCTGGGGACTGGATGGCCAAGGGCTGTGTGCCACCAACATCTCTGGAGTCAGTGAGGATGAAGATGGGGAGATCATCTGCAGGAGAACTTCCACCAACATGATGTACCTGCTGCTGATTGGAGCCCAGGTGCTACTGGGCATCGGAGCCACCCCTGTCCAGCCTCTCGGGGTGGCCTACATAGATGATCATGTGCGCAGGAAAGACTCCTCACTGTACATAGGTAAGTTTCAAATACCAGCAGCACAGCTCTCATACCCAGCAGTCCATTGGCGCAGTGGCCCGTGAAGCCTGTGATCAATGCAAGTCGATCTCTTGATATTGCTAACTGAATATTGCAGTTGACACCTTTCAATGAGGACACAACAGGACACAGGTCCCCAATCTGTTTACTTGGTTCTTTCCACCCAAATCCCTCAGCAATGAATGAAATCTATTTGGAATCCATACACTTATGAATGAACCTCTCTTGCTGTATAGGAATGTTCCTATTTGCAACAACTTCCATTTGACCAGTGAGTACAGATGAGGTAAAGTCCTTATTGAATCCCTAATGATCCAATCTGTATGTGTTAAGCTTTTTTTATGCTTCACAATGTCCTTGCTCCAGGTAAGTGAACCTGCGACAAGTAACAAATTACTTATTTGACAATAGTTTCATCACCTCCCTCTTATCATTATAAAGTGCTAAGATGGTATCCTACTTGAAAGGTGCTATATAACTTTATGTGATTTGTCATCATAAAATAGCACAGTGCTGGAAAAGTACAGGGGAATGGGTTATTCCCATTGTTCTTTCATCTTTATGTGCTGTGGTGCTGACAGTAGTTTTGGCATTGACTACAATCACGTTGAAGCTTGGCACAATTGAAGTGCATTCTTCAACTGCACAGCTCTAGAGGCTGAGCAAGGAACAGCACAGAGGCCTCCTTCTGTGCTGTAGAATGTAGTATGGAGCTGTTGTGGTGCTACAGTGCATTGGAGCATTGTTATGTGGGGCTGGGGAGCAGGAGTCACGCTCATACCTGGGAGGCTTGGGATGATAAGTTCCCGAACTGAGCCAGTGTAGGGGTGGCCAGGTGTTTAGCCAGAGGCAGCCAGAGAAAACAAGGCCAACACATGCCCTGGGCTCTCTGTTGAGGGGGGAGGGGAGCTGGCAGCTGCTCATGAAGGCTATGCCTCCGAGCTCTAATGTGCACCTAGTCTTCCGAAGAATTGGGCTTTCAGAACACACTTCAATTGGAGCCTAGGTATCCAATGACTTACTAGATTACTTAATGTCATTGGAGTGCTTTTGTGATCTTTTAAGTCACTATCTATGGAAAAGTAGTGATGCATTTGACCTAGAATTTACAAGTCCTGATGTTTACCGCTGTCTTGCTAACCCATGTCATGTCTTGCCAGGTCGCAGGTATTTTACTGGAGGAATAAGGAGCATCTAATAGCAATCTAGTAAAGACAAGGGGATTGGTTTATGACTGTATGGTACATAATCTAACTTTACATCCTCTGAACATGTTTCTCTCCTTGTGTGTGATTTAACAACACTGTCTTTGTGGTCCTGAGTGAGCTCCAACTTGATTGTAGTCACTGCCAAAGCTCCTGTCAGCACCACAGCACGTAAAGATAAAAGAACAAAAGAAAATCTATTGCTTGCTCAGAATTCTTTCTGAGAATCTGTATCAAACACATTTTTTTTCCAAGTGAACTCATAAGAAATTTAAGTCTGTGGGATTGTTGTACCATCCTGCTTCCTGATCAAAAGAAATGACACACAATACAATTTACCTTTATAATGTAAATGCCTTTCACTTTGGGAGGACTTCACAAAGTACTTAACACTGCTGTCTGTCTGTGCACCCGAGTTGGGTGTGGGAACTGAAGAGGGTGGGTGGGGGGTGGGAGGGGAAAGACCTAAAGCCTGGTCGAAGAGGCACTTCTTCAGACAGACCCTGAACAAGGTGAGTGAGGGGACAAGGTGAAGGGACTTTGGATGGAGCACAATATCCTAAAGCCATTTTATACAGTATATATATTTCATCTGATTTAAGGAACTGCTCCGATCAGGGGCTATTTTGACTTTCTACTTTTCTAAGAAAAAAAATCAATATTTTAAAATACAACCAAGTGAACAAAAAATTACTGTTTCTCGACGTGGCTGATGGACGTTTCAAATCTCCTGTTTTGTGTTTGATCTCGTTTGCAGAGAGCTGCCAGTTTGTTTTAATAATTTGGTCACTCAATCCCCAGCTGCTTGTGGGACACTGCTGTGAGCAATTGGCTGCTGCTTTTTGCCCACAAAATATCCAGTCAATTCACTGTACAGTATATTCTGTGAAGCGCTTTGAGGCGTCTCAAAGATGTGAGAAGGTGCTAATCAAATGCAAGGATTATTAATATTATTACTATGTGTAAGAAACTTGTGAATTCTCCAACCCACAGACTGATGTTTGAAAGCGAACTTAAAAATATAAATCCTTCATTGAAGTCCAATCTTGAGTGGGTTGCTGAACTCTTGACCTCATGTCTACTCGTCAGCCATTGTAATCTGATATCGTAGGATTATATAGCACAGAAGGAGGCCATTCGGCCCATCGTGTCTGTGTTGGCTCTTTGAAAAGAGCTTCCCAAATCAATCCCACTCCCCCGCGCTCTCCCCATAGCCCTGCAAACTTGTCCTCCCCAAATAATTATCTACTTCCTTCTTAAAAGTTGTTATTGAATCGGCTTCTACCACCCTTTCAGGCGATGCATTCCAGTATACAGGCAAGTTGTCCAAATCAATTCACATAGTAATTGCTCCCTTCTGAGCCGGATGTTTTACAGTCTAATCCTTTCTCTGTGATATGGTGACTCTTGCTGGTCACCAGTCACTTCCTACTTCCACCAACTTACCCACTGCTTCATCTTTCATCAGTCACTCGAGGCAGTTTCCAACTGAAGCCATTACATGAGCTGTATGTGTGGCAGTGGCAGCTGGTGACCTGTTTGACAGGTGATGTCCTGCTCCCACAGTGATCTCAACCAATTCACTGGTCAGGCAATGCTCGCTGTGAGAGATGGAATCTCTAGATGAGGCCCTGCCTAGTATCTCTGTCCAGAACACCTCTGCTGGAGTCTGTTTCCCGGTGTAAAAGGAGTCATCAATGCAGAAAACATGACAAGTCGCTCACTTTCTGCTGCAGCGAAGTTTTAATGGCTGTGTCCCACTTCACAAATAAGAATTTTATGCTGTTGTCTTTTCCCCTCGCTATAAATCATGCTAATGTAGCTGCTGGAAAGAAGTGATTGATTGTATGTCAGAGATCCTCTGGAGATCGTGCAGAGGTTTCTAAATTGATTTAACCTTTGGACTCATGACTCCTTGTTCCAACACATTTCCAGTATCATTCATCTGCAGAAAATTAAATTGGGGGAATTTTAATTTTATTTTCCATATACAGTAATATGAATTGAGGAACACAATATATAGATTCATAGAAATTATAGTACAGAAGGGGACAAATTAGCCCATCATATCTGAAATAGATACCATTTGATATTGGTTCTGGTGGATTAATTTTGAAGGTGAGGCTCTTTCCTTAAGATTTATATTTTCTTTCTATCCCTTTGTAATGGTCTCCCAAGCACCACCCATGCAATAGCTAATGATCAACTTCCCCCGGGCTATGAATGTGGTCGGGGGGAGGAGAAGGGGCTGTGACATGGCCTATACAGTTCATCTGCGATTAGACAGGCAACATTGTGGGGACGTAAGTGAAGATTCAAATCCGACTGTCAGGTGAGGCAGCATGTTGCTATTTCATGCGATCTCCATTGGAAGTCATCTAGTGCAGTATTTCTGGGAATGTGAAGTAATGAATGCTTTTCAAATGGCGTGTTTTAATAGAAGTACTTGAGAGAAAGTGTGGGTTTTAACACCAGTGATACATAAAGTCTACTTTGTACAAGTCAATGGCACATAAACAACACTGCTAACTGAACAAAGAATCCAGTCTGAGAATAAACCACTTACAACACAACAGTTTATACATAAGAGTAGAATAAATAAGGAACGTCCAGTAAAGCATCTGTGACCCAGGCAAACTGAGTATGGTTAGTGGTGTAAGGCTAAAATGTGTAAGGTAAAATAGGATTGAAATTGGATATTCTCAGTGATTCTGTCTCTTGCATTTATCACAGTCAAGAAGTACATAAAATTTATAATAATAATTATCATTACATTTGATATAGCGCCTCATCACCTTGCTGAGACGTCTCAAAGCACTTCACAGGATATACTGTAAAGAGTGATTGAACCACAATGAAGAGGTATTGAGAATGCTTTCTCTCAATGGAAAAGTGGAGTCCTGTAGCTCAGTGGTTAGAGTGCTTGCTTTGCAAGCGAGAGACCTGGGTTCGATTCCCGGCAGTGGGTGAAACCTTGGGCAAGTTTCCTTACTCCACACGCCTGATAATAATCCATCAAGAAAAAAAATAATAAATTGGTCATTTCAATCCACGACTGTTTGTGGGACATTGCTGTGTGCAATTGGCTGCCGCATTTTGCTCACAAATATACAGTCAATTCACTGTACAGTATATTCTGTGAAGTGCTTTGAGACGTCGAGAAGACATGAAAAGCGCTATATCAAATGCAAGGATTATTATTATTATTAAATAGGAGTCACAGGCTTTGAGTAAGAAAATCCTACATTTCAGGGTTGGCCCAAAATAACCAACCACACATCTTGTTGCACAACTCGTTCCTGATATCACCAGCACATACACCTTCAAAAGATTAATGAGCAACTTTGATTAGTCTCTGACCTTCAGTGATTTGAAGTACTATATTGACATTATATCCCCATGAATGACATACACTCTATATCTCTCTATCTCTCTCTCTTTCTAAAGTTTCTCTATTGGAAAGTGCATGTCCAGAAATACTGGGCTCTAGAAAAGTGCATGAATAAGCAAACTGCAGTTGTTTTATTAAGTTCGGTTCATTTTGTGTTTAGATTTTGGCAGAATTCCCATAAAAATGTTCACCAGAGGGGTTATGAATATGCAACAGGCAGTTTGGACCAATGACTCTTGTAAGAGGTAAGTGAGACCCTTGGGCCTCACTGTCACTAACCCAGGCTGCATGTAAATGATGGGAGAGCTGCAACAATTACAAATAATTCTCAAAAACCCACTGGAGTCATTTCAAAAACTATATAACCTTCAGCCCTCTGAACT